TGTGCCGTTTACTGGCTGGTTGCATAAAGTAGTCGTATTTGATTGCGCTACCCATATCTTGCGTTCTTTAGTGCCTTTTCCTGAGGTCAGATACATTCCTAAAATAGGGGCGGAGTCATCGGAATATTGGTGTTGGCGCATGCGTAATAGCAATTCGGAAAAAATTTCGTTAAAAAGGTCAAGAGGATGTCAAATTTGAAAAAAAGTAGTTTAAAATTTATATTTAATTTCCGTCATATGCGTTTTTTATACGAACAGTGGGTTGACATCGCAAGATGTTAACAGGACCGCGTTTGTGAGACATGATTGGTTACTCCCAAAATTGAAGATGATTTTGAGGTAAAAACCTGCATGAGAAACTCACGTATTCAACGACCCATTGGTCTTCAATTGTACGAGGACATCATCAATTTCTGTTTCAAAGATTAAATGTATTCCTGGGAATGTGAACGTGAGGCTATCGCGGAGCAATTCTAGTTAATTACTTTTGACAAAGTTTCCATCTCATCGGTAAGAACACATACATATATCATAGTGTGATAAGCACCAATATGGTAGTGGAAGATTCGTGCCCACTTGAACCGTGGAACTCACCTTATAATCTGGGCCGATTCACGCCTGGGACTGCGTATGACGGGTTGAATATGGTAAGTAAGCCTGACGGGATAATTGCGGTCTCCCTTCGCTTTGTCCGTTCCACCTTATCATCATTCTCCACAAGGCGCCGTGTGGCTACCTGTGAGAGCTCTAAAGTGAGCTCCAGGGCACACCGATACATATATGTTCAATACAAGCGAACAGGTGAGTCCCAGGCATATGTGAGTCCTCACATATATATTCTGTAACCAGATCAGTAAGTCCCACACCATCATCATATTCCTGGTAGCAACCGACAAAAGCATGGTGGAATTTAACACTCAATGGCTAAAAGGTTGCGGGTGTAATTTTGGCTGATCTGCAACTGGAATTGGGTGTGACCGGCTGATAATGGCTAGTAAGCTGCACATGATCATTCCGGTCTCCCTTCACTTTGCCGGTTTCACTTGAAAATGTATGGTTACATATGTAGGTTAGATGTGTCATGCATATATATCGGATAGTAGAAGATACATGAGCATCAGGCAAGACAGCAAGATGACTTTGTGCATCAGAGTTGACATTTAACTTTTGACGGTAAAATATCTTCACTATCATTCACTCCTAGGGGCTGATATTATATGGCCAGTTAGCTAGGAACACATACTTATGTCGGTTTTACCTACACATGATTGTCATTAGCTCTGATTCCTTTCCATCCTCTGTGCAGCCACAGCCAACCTCTCGGTCCTGGAAAAACTAGCTGATGTCGCCCTGCGTCTCTTTCTGGAGGGCGCCAACGAAGTTGAATTTCCGATTCGAAAGGTCAACATTTTGCTCTTTAAGGTAGAGAAATTAACGGTCATCGGTCTGCCATCCTTGTACCGGGCATGTCCGATCAACTTAACGGAGACACTAGAGGCAGACACAGGGGCACCTCAGTTTATTTTGAGTGGGTGTATCGGAGCTACCAACCTCTCATTCAGTCTACGGATAAAAAACTTCCTTGGGGTGTCCTACGTGAGTTTGATGTTTTATATTCCAATCTACAAGATTTGAGATGCGTTTTCCAACATAAATATAGGGGCACTTAATGGTCAAATCTGACGTCAGTAGTTAGTAACGCCTCCAAGCTTGCAGGTTTCTCATCCGAGATGCTAATCTCGAGTACTTTTGATATATCGGTCTTGTTTTACTTAATATTGATAAATAATGTGTTGATCTCGCTGTAAACAGTGAAAGAATCACCAATAGGACACTGAAATACCAACAACCCTCATTCCCCTACTTGGTACAAAAGGTCTTCCGTCAAAATCAGGGTGGGTAACTATTCATACAACTCAACCTCTACTTATATTTAATAGTAGCTGGGATATTACCTCTAAAAATACAATGGAACCTAAAGATTATTCCCTGGAATTTAGTGCAGAGCCGCCTGTATTATGGACAGTTCCTTTCCCCATATAAACAACCCTACCAATAAGTCAAATTTAGCGAACGCATGTGTTGAGCATTTAATGTTGACTTGTACGTCAGCCTAGAATTTACCGACCAAAAATTATATCCATTAAGTAATCGCTGATGCCTCCTCATCTCTGTTAAGGACCTCCGCTTCGCGGTCAACCCATTTGTGGCAAAGTTTAATCTTGAACTGCTGCCAGAACGGACTACTGAAGGTGCCAGTTTGGACAATGACGTAATTCCGCCTCGGCACTTAGTCACCATGTTAAATTGTGAACTAACAAAATGGGACGGAGTTGTAGCCACCGAGGCGCCATTCAAGTTTGTTGTGAGGGGCATTGTGCGAGCACTCACGCCGAAGGAACTGCTCGAGGTCGAGTGCGAGAAGTTCTTCAATGAGGACGTTATGCCGAAGTTCCTCTTACCAAAGCTTGGTAAAATCAAGAACAGGAATAACAGGAGGAGGTACAAGAACGAGTAATTGCAGATCATCGACTGGACCAAGATCTCAGAAAGGTCATTTGTATACTTCACGCCCTTCGTCAGGTAATACCTAAAATAAGAACAAAACATCGTATATTCCCACTTCATACTGCAAATTGGCCAGACTACACACAAGCACTGCCATCTTCTTTTAACCGTGGTTCATGTTTGACTTTCCGGACAAGTAAATATTTTGCTGGAGGTTTTAATCCTTCTTCACCTGGAGGAAAGTTCTTTTCGAATTCTCAAAGACATTTTATTGCTTGGCAGCGGTTTAAACCCCTTCAAGCAAAATTGCTCATTTATAACCAGCCACTTTCAAGCATGGTAGATTATGGAAGGCACGGATACTCAGAATATGGTTATAAGGTAATACGGAAGCTTAATATATTTGCAAGGCAGCTCCTCATATGATTTAGGAAGGTATGCCATGCATAGATTTGCATCTCACCATTCGGGAAGGTATGGGTTAGAGCTTCCACTTGGGTTGGGATTTTAGGCCTAATGTGATAGATATGAATTGAGGAGTTAATTTTGGCAAAAATATGTTTTTGGTCATTTACGATCATTTATGATACGAAAAATGAAATCGTCCGTTATGTGCAATGGTTAAATTTTTCTCGGGAGAACTGGTTAGTTTTCACGCTACCTGTGTAGGGGACGGCCAAAAGTGCTTTCCCTTTCGTTCTCTAATGCTCGCTGCCCCAAAGTCACAAATCACCACAGGCAACTGTTGCAATGCTTCCTTTCATCGGCGTTTCCGTCCCCCGAGACTTGACCTCGCAGCTGAAAATGAGCGAAGACTGGAGATCTTTGACCACCGGTGCCTAAGAACGGTCCTGCGAGTTAAGTATAGCGACTAAATCTCAAATGAGACAGTCCGCACCCGCTGTGATCGTATCACGAGGATATTTCAGGCCATTCAAGAAAGGCGACTGAGATGGT